GAAACTGCTCATAAAACGATTTTTTAATTTCGCTATCATTAAATTATTATTTAAACTTTCATTTTGTTCTCATTCAATTTTAATTTGAACTTTCATTTTGTTCTCATTCAATTTTAATTTGGATTTTCATTTTGTTCTCATTTAACTTTGATTTCACCTTTTATTTCATTTTTATTCTATTCCGAATGAAATATTTAAAATATTTTTACTTTGTTATAATCTGGAATTACATTGCTGTAAACAGTAAAGTTTCGTTGTTGTATGTATTTGTTGTAAGTACAGATATTTTCTGTTATTAAATTCATTTCATTTTCGGTTAATAATACTTTTGAGTTAGAGAAATGATAGTAATATGAAGGACTTTCCATTCTAAAATATTTCAAGTGTTCAAAGAAGATATGAATCATTTTAGAAAATTTCGTATAACGCGTGTTACATGAACTACAATTTTCTAGGTTATGAACTTCGAAACTTACGAATTTCATTCTGTTTTGGTCCTCATGAATTTTATCTTTTCTAAGAGAGGTTAGGAATTGTTAATATTTAAATTTATTTAGTTACTTTTATAATAATCGTGTATTTTATTCAACAATCAGTGCAATGAATTTCATTTATTGCTTATTAAATTTTTTAATTTAAATATATACAACCACATCTTTCAACTCGATCTGATATCCTAATCGCAAAATTATAAAACAATTTACTCTTTTCATTTCTTCAAAAATCGCAGAATAAATTATTATATAGAAACTACCATTGAATTCATAAACAATTTTAGGTTATTTTAAAACATTTTGCAGAATTTTCCACAGCTATCAGCGTAACAATAACAAAAATTACACTCCATATTACTATCATTTTAATAAGAGAACAACTTAGAATCTCAAAATAAATTTTGAATCAAATTTCATTATCTCTACGCAATATATCGAGTCTCCCAGTTTCCGAGCGTTCGAAGGAATGAACTGATTAATAGAATCAATAAGGAGACTGTTTGCAGGTGTTGCGTTACCGTTCGCGAATACCATGATTAATTTTCGTCTTCCTAAGGTGCAAACACGATCGAGTATCGCAGATGCTCGTCCAGAACGATCGATTTCCGGATGCAGATTGATCGTCGCAATGAAATTATCCTCGAGACGAGATTCAAAGTGTTCCATATTCCGAATTGATCGTGACTGCCGTACACGATTCTCAGGACACCGTGTATACAAGACGTTTAAATCGTTGTTCGTTTGCCAATATTACGAACGATTTTTTTACTCTCGAATCACCTGCCAATTGTGTATGTGTGCGTGTATGTATGCGTGCGTGTTCGTGTACAGTAAATCAAATCGTAAACGTACAAACGCGAATGACCCGTATAAATGACACCACCCGCGTATCGGACGCACCTGTAAATATACTGTCTGTAACGCGTACTGCGTTCACGTCGTAACGAGTTTGTTAAGAGCCTATTGATTATACTTCTTACGTAAAGTGTACTACTGCCGAGCATCATATTATACGTGAAATAAACTCATCGTCTGTAAATTCTCAATTTACCCGTTTTACTACTCCCTGCCTGCAGAGATACAAATTTACCAATTTTTAGATCTTGTATGTTACGTAGATTTATGCACTTGTAAATTCATGAACCTAAAACGCTCGAGTCTAATTATAAATAGACACATTTATTTTATGATTATTTAAAACTTTCAACATCCTTCAAATACCACGAAAATTCATCTTCATTCTAAAAGTAGCCAAGTTCCATAAAAAAATTCAGCTTTTTGAAACGTATTACAACTCCATTTCGATGGTCGGAAGTTAAATATTATTTTTAAAAAATTTTAATATCTTTTTCAATTCAATTTGAACTGTGATAATATTTAATTCGTAGAATCTCGGTAGTTCAAAGGTTCCGATGTGCAACGGTTTGTTTTGCTCTTTGATCGATCATCACGTGTCAGCGTTTTTTCGTTACCACAGAAAATTATTCCACGCGTAATACACTTAACCCATGCCGTAATTCCCTCGTTGATTACTATAGACAGAGAAAGAGCGAGAGAAGTTTCTGCCTTAACTACGGCCACGTAATTGGTCCCCAGGAAATTCTACTTTTACATCAATTGCCGCAGCCTTCACTCTTCGTTCTCTTGATTAGAGAACCAAATCCCAAACCGCTAACATAACTAATTCACTAATGTATCCAACTTCCACGGTTGTTACCTCCCTTTGCCATGACGTGGATACTTCATTTACTTTGCTACCGGGTCTCAAACTGCTTCCTCCATTTTACTTCTTCATCGTTCGTGTCTTACTCTGTCGATCTGTCTTGATCTCTTACGAGTTTACCGACTGCCGATTTACTCGTTTCGTTTAATTGTCACGGGAGAAAATATGAATAAGGGATGAAGAAGGGAATGTGGTAAAATCTTATGAGTATTGGCAATGATTTTCAAAGTTTATTTAGAACTTTTTCAATTTATTTACAATCTAGCACATGGATTTATAGCATTGACAGAAATATTAGCAATACCCCATTGAAAGTCTTGTGGATGTAAATTTAGAATACTGTCAATGTACACTTTTAATACAATAATTAATATAATGTATAATATATAATAAATATATATAATATATGTATATAGTAAATAATAAATAAATAATATATATAATAAATAACAACTATGTGCTAATATAATAGACAATTAATATATAACACACATATTTTGATAAGATAATAAACATTTAATGTATAATAATTATATGTTGATGATATAACAGACAATATAACATAAAATGTACATTGATTGTGTAAATCTGAAAATGTTGATGTTAATCTGACATCTCCATCATAAGCAGTAAAATATAAAAATAAATGACACATTCCATTAAATGAAAGTCATTTCAAGTAGAAGACCGACAAAAATAGAGGTCAATGTTACAAATGTGCCAAAGATGTTTCAGACATAAAATAACACGAATACTCGACATTGAAAATGATTATTTTAGACTACAAACATTTCCAGGAAATCAGCATTCTACAAATTAACAAGAAGACATGTTATAAATAGAGTCTACTTATCGTTACGCTCAAAATTTCATTCATGTTCGCCCTACACATTGCGCACTTTCCTAGGTACTTTTTAAAAAGCAACAAGTTCTAAAGAAGAGTTTATGTGTTTCACTTTATAGACGTCAAGGCAACTCAATGTCAACAGTTTATTTTCTCGCAAAGAATTCTCGTTCACCAAACGTCCCCGACTTAGTACCATCTAACAAGAAAAGAAAGAGTCGCCGACAGAGTCTAATAATAAGTTAAGTTCGAGTTAGATGCTTCGCCATGTTACGGTGTAGAAATGAGAAGAGGTTTGGAAGGGAGTCCGCGTGTGCGCAGTGAAAAAGCACTCGAGGGCAACGGTGTTCGGAATTCGAGTGCTAGCCGCGAGGTTCTGAAAAGCACATTTGGCAAACTTCCGTTCCAGGTAACCAACCGAACGTAATCGTAATTTTAGGTAAGTTCTTTTTCCTTCAATGTACGTTGGATGGTCGTTTCGACCCTTCGTACCTTTCTCCTTACGACCCTCCGTGTTATAGTTTACTCTCGGACTTCCGACTCGATCTTCCCTTAATTCGCAATCATTGATATTTCTCGTTATTTGTTTGTAGGAAAAATTTTTGTTCAAATTTTTATTCTTGCGCTTAGTTTTTTGCACTTTTCAGTGCGTTGACTGTGTCAAGTTTTACTGTAAGACACATTGGGGATGCGAATAATGAATTTTTAATTTTAGCTTTCAGTTTTTTATTTTATTATTAAAATATAATAGTGATAGGTACAATGGTATATTAGTAATAATTATGACATTTGGAAAATAACTTTAAGTTCAGTACTTTAGATTCTTAGTGTAGTAACATGATTATTGATTCCAAAATTCGAGCATTAAAATTGCACTTCACAACATGAATAATGTAATTGTGATAGGTATAATAATTAAGTCCCAAATTCAGTCTAACTTTACAATTTTAACACAGTACATATTGCAGTAAATAATATGTATTTTAATATCGTACATACAGAATTTTAATATAGTAAGGGATCACAGTTTTTCAAATTCATGCAATTATTTTTCTCCTCCACGTTAAAGATATAATAAATGATTTGCAAATTTATTCTTACAATGTAATACCATATCATTAGTGTATTAAATAATTCTCATATTCAATCATACATTTTTCTACTTCACACTAGTAGTATAACAGTAACAAATATAATAATTTTATTTTTTAAAATCAAACACAAATTACTACTTTGTATTATAAGCACAATAATACACTAACTAACTGCAGGTATTTTTATCTTGTATTATTAATATAATAAATTTACTAAATTTTCTATTTTATATCATTTGATACAATAACAGATATGGTCCTCAAACGTTCAATTTCCAACAATACATAGACAGCACAATAACACTCTATTTCCCCGTTTACTATTAAATAGTATCATCTATTGTTAAATAGCAACAGTATAAAATCACCAACAGTATTCGTTCACCGAATACTCGAAATGGACTTCAGAATAATGGCCGCTGTAAGACTGATTAAACCAACCATAAAGCTTTTACCAGAACAGCGTATTTCGAAAACACACTGCACGACAATTCGTGGAAACACTTGGATTATATTAGAACACGCGTTCGATTCTCGGTACGAAACCACGATTAATTGTATGCAATTCGATGAAAACTGTGTCACAGAGTTTATCGCCAACGACGGCGTCGCGACGCTTACGTTCTGCGTCTAAATATATATCGGACGTCGTAACGCGTGCTTTCAAAAATTTTTCTCAATTTTTTCCAAGCTAATTATGGCACGTTGACACGGAGCAGGATTTTAGTCGACGTTACTAGAACAACGGATCGCGGTCGAATGAATGAAAAAGAACGCGACAGACCGCGTGTGCTCTTTGCCATTCGTCTCGTGTTTCTTCATCACGACATCGGTCAAAATCACTACGTCTAAAATTAATCTGTGCTAACAGTATTGTCTTCATTTTTATCGACGATCAATGTTTATCGATGCCCAAAACGTTCAACGTTTGGAGTGGCGAAATCTTGAGTCAATAAACTTTCGTCTAGTAGTTAAATGAACGATGTTGATTCTAACAGTATGCCTGCTGATATTCAGGAGAGATTTCGAGTAAAAAATACACAATAAAAAGTCTTTGTATTAACATTGAATTGATACTTCTATTTGATCAAATTTATTGAGTACTGTGTCATAAAAGTGTACACATAAAAGTCATAAAAGTGTACACATTTGTAGTTATACATAATATAAAATTAACATATATTACACATATATTTTAGGTACAGAGTATGTACGAAGTCGCGTACCTATATTGAAAGACACTTAATCTAAAAAGCATCGATGCCTGACAAAATATTAAATTATAAAAGTACAATTTATTTACAAAATGTAATCCAATAAAACAGTACAAAAATTGAAAAAAGGTAACCTAAAAAGTTCAGAATTTCGAAAACACAAAAAGTCCAGAATGTTAAAATCAAGTTTAGTGTCTTGATCGAATAAAATTGAACCCAGATTAAAAAACAAAGTAAAAAGTAAAATGCACTGTAAGTATAATTTCAAAGTAAAATTTATTTTCGTAAACTTTGTAAAAAAATTCAGTTCCGAAGTAAAATACGTTCCTGAAGTAAAACTTAAAGTAAAATTTTAAACGAGGTAAAAAGCAGCAAAGTAAAACAGAAAGTAAAGATTCGTCACCGAAGGGTAGAAAAACAGAAATCCTAGGGGAGGATAAACCGACGTCGACTAGAATCTGACGTTGCTGAAAGGAACCGCCTACAAATAAATAACCGGACTTAATATTGGAGGATTGATTTTGGACGGCTAAATATTTACGCGGGCCAAGAATTCGAACGCGTAATGCTTTCCGTTTCGTTTATACAACGTCTAGCGCGGTTAAGTGCTCGTTCAAATCCCAGCAATCGATTTTAGCAACGTGTGATCATATTGCAAATAAATTCGCGTCAATCCTCCGAGTCTGGCTGTCTTTGATGCTAATCGAGTCTCTCTGGGAGGCTTTATGCGGACGTCCGCCATGCTGTGAGCATCAACGAATGCAGTTGTTTTCAACTCCAGCTGTTTCGTTTTAATGCGTGTTTATCTTCGCTCTCTGTGCACAGAATGACTGTAAGATGCTGGTCAAGTGTCTTCCGGTGATCTTCTTTTCCTGCGTTCTGGCGTTTCCCAAAAGGGTTCATATAGGTAAGGGTTATATGGATTCTTTTTTGGGCACTGCTATTTTTGGAATAAAAAAGTTCAATTAGGTTTTGTGATAATTCTATCGATTATTTATTTGGTGGGTTACTATTTGATTTTGTAAAAAGTTAGTTTGAAATTATATTTCATTACTTATACATATATTTCGTAAGTTATTTGGTTTTGTATAAAATTTTATCCTTTCTGAATAGAGGATTGAGCTTGCTGCTAAGAGTTATAAGTCTACTACAATTTTGTAAAGAACCAAAATAGTCAGTTTCAAATATATTCAAAATTTTATTTCGAATATTGAAGTATAATATTAATTTCTAATATTCAAAAATTTCATTCTAAAAATCCAAAAAATTTCCAAAATCCCTAATATCACTCAAGTTCTAAATATTCAAAAAATCCTAAAAATTCCAGAAATTCTCAAAATTCAAAAAATTTTCCAAATTCCAAATATTCCAAGAATCTGCAAAACCTAAAAATTCCCAAAATTCCAGAAATCCTCAAAATTTTCCAAGAATCCATAAAATGCCCAAAATTCTAAAAATTTCCCAGATTCTAAATCTTCCAAGAATTCCCCAAATCCCCAGAAATCCTCGAAATGCAAAAGATTCCCCAAATTTCCCAAATTCACAAAATTTCCAAAATTTCCCAAATTCCAAATTTTCCAAGAATCTCCAATATATCTTAAATTTCCAAAATCCCAGAAATCCTCAAGATTGCAAAAATTTCCGAAATTCCAAATCTTCCAAGAATTTTCAAAACCCCTATAATCTCCAAAATCCCAGAAATTCTCGAAATTCCAAAAATTTCGCAAATTCCAAATTTTCCAAGAATCCCCAAAATCCCAGAAACTTCCCAAATTTCCCAAGAATACCTTGAATCCCCAAAATTCCAGAAGCCCTACCTTAAAAAATAAAAAATACTAAAAAACATGTGGGTAACGAGTCCTATCGGCAGCGCATTGACGCACAAAGTTGCAACCATGTCTTTTAGGAGGATTATTCGACGATGACGAAGGAATTCAGCGCACCTTCGAAATGTCTGCGAGAACGGTGAACCGAGAACGACACAAGAACGAGGAGTTCTCGAACGTGTTTCTCGTGGCTGAATCGAAAGAAGTTGGAACAGACCCCTTTGAGGTGTCGCAAACAGGTACAGTTTAATCGACGATCCGCGTTCAAAGCCGCTCTATTTCGAACACAGTTCTGCGTACGTCATTCGTTCTATGTTTTCGATTCGATCGACCACGTGGTACACGTTCAGTATGCGAATTGTTGGACATGAAAATCGCGGCGATTTTCGGGCCCCAGAATAAGATGACCTCGGAACACGTGCAAAGCATGTGCGACACCAAGGAAATGCCACATATTTATGGCAGATGGGAGGCCTCGCAACCTCGGGGCAAAGGGATTAATTTATTTCCCCATGCAGAAACCCTGTCGTTGGTATGTAAAATGTAACGTTTTATTGGAGTTTTAGGATTTATTTCTTTTGCAAAAATAAAGACTTTCGGAGCTGATCAAGGTGTTGGTCAGTTTACCCCTTAAACCCTTAAGCAGAACTAGGAAATAAGTGTGATGATAATTAAAAGAATAATTATTATGATTAGTAGTAGTAAAAGTTCATTTATTGAAACAACGTTAGTATACTTTTGTGTATGAAAATTTCAAAAATTAGTTCAAAACCTTCTGACATATAATACAGTATGATATAGTAGATGCACTTAAAAATGAAAGCTGGAGCTTTTGCTAAATCTAAGCATCGTTTAAATTCTAAAATCGAAATAATTTCCATAAAGTTCATAAAATATTCATACTAGTTCATACTAGTTTTGATCAAAAATGCGTATTAATGAAATAGTTAATAAAATTACTAATCGATAAAATAGTTGTCAGAATATTTGTCAACGAAATATTTGAAATGTCATCAGGTGTTCGATCATATGATAACCGATTACGAGTGGAAAACATTTGCAATATTATACGAAAGTACGGACAGTTTAATTCGAACTCATCGTTTGCTGGAACGTTGGGATGCAAAAAGTCACGCCATCTTCTTGTACCATTTAGGACCAGGTCCCAGTTACAGGTACGAAGATAAAATATCTAATTAAGACTATCTCGATTTACTTGGATTAAGATTTAACACTGAGACAAAATAAATTAATTGGGAAATAAATCACGAGAGATAATCAATGTTTATATTACACATTAATTATAACGTCGCGGTGTTCAATTTTTCCAGAAAAGTAATACGAGAGATTAAGGACGCAGAAATTGAGAACATCATTATCGATTGTTCCATTAATCGTCTCGAAGAGGTGCTAAAACAAGCGCAGCAAGTTGGAGTCTTGTCGGAGAAAAATAAAATCATAGTTACTTCCTTGGTAAATTTGCTCGAATATACTATAGAAAATATTTTTATTATTATTGCGGACCAAAAATTATTTTTTATAAAGTACTTGCAAGTCGATTTATATTTGCAATCAGCAAAAAGTAAGATATTGAAAATTCTAAATAATTAATATATATTGAACATACACTTTTATATTCGCAAATAGTTAAGTCTGTAAAGTGTGGTTTCAAGAAGTTTGAATTGTGTAGATTTTCAAATTCATATATTCATAGATTACTATATCTATAAATCCTGAAATTTTCAAATTTATTAAATGACAAATTCCTAAAGTTCAAAGTCCCTGAAGTTTTAAAGTACTAAATTCTCAAATCTGTGATGTGTCAAGTCTCTGAAGTTCTGAATTCCAAAAGTTCCAAATTTCAAAATACCTAAAATTCTTGAAGCCTTCAGAGTCCTCTAAAGTCTCACATCTCTATAGTTCCACATCTCTAAACTCCCAAACCACCATACTTCTAAATTCGTATACTTCCAAATCCCCAAAGTCCCAAATCTCTAAACTCCCAAATCCCTAAAGTTCAAAATCTCTAAACTCCCAAATCTCTAAAGTTCCAAATCTCTAAACTCCCAAATCCCTAAAGTTTCAAATCCTAAAAGTTCCAAATCTCTAAACTCCCAAATCCCTAAAATTCCAAATCTCTAAACTTCCCAATCCTTAAACTCCCAAATCTCTAAAGTTCTGAATCTCTAAACTCCCGAATCCCTAAACTCCCAAATCCCTAAACTCCCAAATCCCCAAAGTTCCAAATCTCTAAACTCCCAAATCCCTAAAATTCCAAATCTCTAAACTCCGCAATCCTTAAACTCCCGAATCCCTAAACTCCCGAATCCCTAAACTCCCAAATCCCTAAACTCCCAAATCCCTAAAGTTCTAAATCTCTAAAATTCCCATCCCTAAACTCCCTAATCCCACAATTTCCAAACCTTTAAATTTTCAAATATTTAAACTCCCAATTCTCCATACTCTCTAGTCCCTAAACTTCCAAATCCCTAAATTAATAAATCTCTAAAATTCCAAATCCCTAAATTAATAAATCTCTAAAATTCCAAATCCCTAAAATCCCTAAATCTTTAAAGTTTCCAATCTCTAAACTCCCAAATCCCCAGTCTCCCAAATTCCTAAGCTCTCAAACCCCCAAATCCCACCTTCACAACAAAATTTAACTACTCATTCCCTTTTACAGGACCTGCAGACCATAGACCTCGAACCATACCAATTTTCAGGAGTGAATTTCACAGGAGTTCGTCTGATCGACCCAGAGAATCCCGTAGTAACAAACGTAGTAGAAATGCACAAAAATGAATGGGGCTTCGATGACGCCTCTCAGCTCAGAGTTGAATCCGCCCTCATGTACGATGCTGTACAACTCTTCGCCAGAGGCTTCAAACAACTGAAAGACGCCGTCAAAGGCGACGTTAAACAGTTAACATGCAACGATACCTCGAACTGGGAACACGGTTCTAGTTTAAGCAATTTCATTCGTCTAGTAAGTCTCTCTGGAGTAAAACATCGGTCTCTATCGTTGTGTTTCTGTGCAATTAAAAATTGATTGCTTTTTCAGACCGAAATGGAGGGGTTGACTGGATTAATCAAATTCGACACAGCTGGGTTTCGAAGCGATTTCCAGTTGGATATCGTACATGTGACGGAAACAGGTTTGGAGAAAATTGGAATATGGAACAGCACAAATTCCATCCAATGGCTACCGAAAGCTCATACCCCTAGCTCGGACATTGAATTCAGTCTGCAGAATAAAACGTTCATTGTGCTCATTGCTATTGTACGTGAGGAGCTTCATGCTTTATACGTATTGCATTTTGATGTCGAAGATTGTCTGATTTATATAGGGTGAATTTTGAAATTCAGATTTTGAAATTTTGAAATTTTTAGATTTTAAGATTTATTCATTTTTTTAGGTTATAACACTCTTTTCTATTTCTGAGTTAATGGAAGTTCAAATTTTCAGTTTCAGGGATTATTAAATTTTTAGATTTTTATAATTAGGGATTTATGTATTAGGCAAATTTTTAGGTTTTCAAATCTCTACATACTCACATTATCAAATTTCTACATGTCCAAATTCCCACGTCTTTGAATTCCCACAATCTCAAATTTCCACGTTCCCACATTCTCACGTTTCCAAATTCCCACGTCCCCCAATTCTCACATTCTCAAATTCTCACACCCCCAAATTTCCACATTCCCGAATTCTCACATCCCGACATTCCCACATCCCAAAATTTCCACGTCCCCAAATTCTCACGCATCCAAATTCTCACGCATGCAAACTCTCACGCATTCAAATTCTCACGCACCCAAACTCTCACGCATCCAAATTCTCATGCATCCAAATTCTCACGTCCCCAAATTCTCATATTCCCAAATTTCCACGTCCTCGAATTCTCACATTCCCAAATTCTCACACCCCCAAATTCCCACATCCCCAAATTTACACATTCCTGAATTCTCACATCCCCACATTCCCACATCCCAAAATTCCCACGTCCCCAAATACTCACGCATCCAAATTCTTATGCATCCAAATTCTCACGCATGCAAATTCTCACGCACCCAAACTCTCACGCATCCAAATTCTCATGCATCCAAATTCTCACGCATCCAAATTCTCACGTCCCAAAATTCTCATATTCCCAAATTTCCATGTCCCCGAATTCTCACATTCCAAAATTCTCACACCCCCAAATTCCCACATCCCCAAACTTCCACATCCCCAAATTCTCACATACCGACATTCCCACATCCCAAAATTTCCACGTCCCCAAATTCTCACGCATCCAAATTCTCACGCATCCAAACTCTCACGCATGCAAATTCTCACGCATCCAAATTCTCACGTCCCCAAATTCTCATATCCCCAAATTTCCACGTCCCCGAATTCTCACATTCCAAAATTCTCACATAAATTCGCTGCTTTAAAAATTCCCAAACCACCAAATCCGTACCTCCCCAAGCCAAATCCCAACTACTCAAATCCCAAATTCCTCAAATCACCACATTCTCCATTTACACACTTTCCACATCCACATCTAATCACGACACCACAACTATCAAACATCTGCGTCTGATGAATGTGTCTGATCAGCACTTTTCTACAGTACTCATCCACTCGTTCTTTTCGCATATTTCCAGAGTCATCCGTACGGTATGTTAAAGCAGTCAGCGGAAACGATGGTGGGAAACGATCGATACGAAGGATTCGGTATCGATATTATTCAAGAACTGAGTAAAATGCTCGGTTTCAATTATACTTTTGAAGTGCAGGCTGACAATGTCTACGGCTCGCGTTCTCCTAAGACCAAGAAATGGTCTGGAATGCTCGGAAAAATAATCGCTGGTGTTAGTAGTTACTACATCATACCGGCTGCTCAAATAAAGCGACACATTTTGAGATACAACTTCAGATTAAACTTTATTGCAGGAGGCACATCTGGCGATCACGGACTTAACTATCACGTCCGAACGGGAAGCTGCTGTGGATTTTACGATGCCGTTTATGAATTTAGGTATGGCTCTTTCGTATCAAGCTATGTTGATGTTTTATTTCTTGTAACGAGTGTATAGGGTGTTCAGAATTGTTTTGGGAGCATGTAGGATAAAATAGAACATATGTTACTTGATATTTGAATCTTTTTGTGGAAACTAATTCTTTTTGAGTCATTGAATGTAGGAATGCAAGCTTAAATTATTATGGATGTAATGTACTCTTACTTTTTAATTGAAAATGTGGTTCATAAGATGTAGACTAGTATGAGTACATTTAAATAAAACTAGAGGATAGAACATTTTTGGCACACATTTATTTTGGAGCAAAAGAAGAGAGCATATGTTGGTATATATATGAAGAAAATATAAGGATAAAGATACACTGGGACACACATAAATAGAATTGACGAATGAAATACACACTACAGTCTACACAGGGATATAAAGTAGGAGCATAAAACAATACATACATCAATGTAATGAAAGGATGAAATCATTAATTAATCAAATATGTATTAGTGTATGCACTAATACATATGTACATCAATAAGATAAAAGAATAAGATGTGCACTAGTAAATACATGAATAACATACGTTTAAAAAAAGTCACCAAAACAAATTTTGTAATTTAATAAAAATAAGAAACCTCAGAATTCATCATTTGACCAACTTGATCATTTTTTAAAGTATTAAAGTGTTGAGTTATATATTTGGATTTATGTTTGTAGGAATAAGTATCCTGTACCGAAAACCGAAGAAAACGCCACCCAGTCTGTTTTCGTTCTTATCACCATTCTCAGCTGGTGTTTGGTGGTATCTAATTGGAGCTTACATACTCGTATCTGTGGCATTATTCGTGATTGGTAGAATGTGCCCTGCAGAGTGGAACAATCCGTATCCTTGCATCGAGGAGCCCGAGGAGCTGGAGAACCAGTTTACCTTTAAGAATGCTTTATGGTTCACCATCGGTAGTATTATGCAGCAAGGTTCCGAAATTGCGCCGATGTAAGTTGAATCTTCTGTTTCGTTCGATTATACAAGTATTCGAAATTGAAAATTAGAAAATTAGAAAATCAAAGAGAAACTTTTAAGTTTCAAAGTTATTCTTTAATCTTTCAAGTTTTAAAAATTCTAAACTTTCAAGATTTCGAAATTTTAAACTTTGTTAATCTTTGCATTCTTTCTCATAATTGAATTATAATAAATTGTATAATTTATTTTATGCACTAATTTGATTTTCTGTGACTAGAGGATTATCAACGCGAATGATGGCGTCGTCATGGTGGTTCTTCTGTCTCATAATGGTGTCCTCCTACACCGCGAATTTGGCGGCGTTTTTGACCGTCGAAACTTTAGTATCGCCTTTCTCGAACGTTGAAGAACTAGCAAAGAAGAAGACTATCAAATACGGAGCAAAAACTGGAGGCTCCACGTTCATGTTCTTCAAAGTAAGTACACTACTCCACGAATAATAAATGAAAACAATTCCTTAAAATATATGCCGTATTTTAAATATGAATCTGCCGTGAATCGTTAGTGTATTAGACAGTAACGAATTTTGCAGGATCTTTACAGCATCTGATGTACTTTGTTTTACGTGTAAGAAATATTTACTTTTCAATCTCGTAGCAATGCTTTCCATTCTAATTTTCCGAATCGAACGAACTATAATACGAACAGCTTTCGTTTAACTTCGGACCATTAACCTCTCTGAATCTACGCTTCAATTACCCTAACTTCTGAGGTACAATACCGAACTGTGGTTTTCCTGATCGTAGTTGGAACAGTTATCAATATTTGAGTTTCGTAGGATCCAGACAGTTTTATGAGACAAAGTTCATATGAAATACGGAAGGTGTCGGTAAAATTTGTCGTTGTCGGAAGAGGAAAATTGCTTTGTTCATTGTTATTAACTAGTAGTGAATTTAGAATTGGTGTACTTATTCTTGGACATTTTATTATAACTATAATTATTACAATTTTCATATACAAATGAGTGAATGTATATTTTATAAAATTTAAATTTATATTTTGTGACATTCAGATTTTATTAGAAGGATCGTATTTTATAAAACTTTAATTTTATATAACTAAATTGTAATTATTAAGCTGAAATGTTGAATATGTTGAAAAATATTAAGGTCAAATTTTGGACTCTAAATTATTAATATTTAGATTTTATTAAAAGGGTCGTATTTTATAAAATTTTATTTTCTTTCGACTAAATTGTAATTATGAAGCTGAAATGTTAAATATGTTGAATAATATTAAGGTCATACTTTGGACTCTAAATTATTAACATACAATCTTTATTAGAAGGGTTGTGCTTTAGAAAATTTTATTTTAATTGAAGTAAATTGTAATTATAAATCTGAAATGTTGAATATGTTGAAAAATATTAAGCTCAAACTTTGAACTAAATTATTAAATTTCAGATCAGGATGTATTTTGCACTTCAAATCATTTTACTTTTCATTCTAACAATAATTTCTATAATCATTATTTGAATTCAATCCATCACATTCAATTATTCGAGTTGAATATTCATTTGATAGCGATTTAAATCTATCAAACGATGCATAATTAATTTGCATTATATTAAACTCAGTACCCGATCCATTATATCTGATGAACAATATTTGTTAACATAATAATCAATACGTACCAAAAATTGAAAATTGAACACGACTCATCAGTTGTGAAATTGAGATTAATAAACTACATCGCTAGTAAGTAATGTTTGCATAATCTCCTTTGTTTTATATTGAACACCATTTTCAAAAACAGTTCTTCCATTTCCTTAGAAAATATTTCACAACCTCCGTCAAAATAGTGTACCTTGTAGTTAACAGTGTTAAAATAATTAAACTTTGTTTACGAAAAATTAATTATGTAAATATTTTAATAAGCTTGTTGATAATAGTTTATATGCGAAGCTTCATCATCCCTAGAATTAGTTTATAATAGTTAATATTTAATTTGATTATTTAATTAAATAATATTTAATTTCTGACCCATCATTGATATAACAGCCATAGTAATTAAATTTGTACAATATTTAGTATCTGCAAGAATTTACTAATCCTCATTGCATCTTGTTTACTTGTGGACCCATCATTCATATATCATAATAAATAAATTTGCACAATATCTCTTTATAAAAATTTACTTGTCCCCATTGAATTTTACTCACTTGTGAACCCATTATTAATATATAATAGCCATTACAATTAAATTTGCAGAATTTCCACAAAAATTCACTAGTTCCCATTGAATCTTGCTTACTAACATTAGGCAAAGAAAACTTGTAGTCACTCGTTTTAATACAGTTTTTTCAAAGACTTATGCACATTCCAAGGATTCCAACTACTCGACGTACAAGGAGATGTTCGAATACATGACGGCGAACGCTGCAGACGTCCTAACTCCGGATAACGATTCGGGATTGAAGAAGGTTCTGAGGGAGGACTATGCGTTCCTGATGGAGTCCAGTTCGATTGAGTACATCACCGAAAGATATTGCAACGTAACACAAATTGGTGGTCTTCTTGATGCGAAGGGTTATGGCATCGCTATGAAGAAAGGTACGAACTGTTCTCTAATCTGTGGAAAGTTTTCTTTTTATAAATGAACAAGTTATTTCATGTAGTAAATAAATTATAATTTCATGTATTATTTAGATAAATTATAATTTCATGTATTACTTAAATGTATTTTAATTTCTTGTATTATTTAGATGAATTATAATTTCATGTATTATTTAGATGAATTATAATTCCATGTATTATTTAAATGAATTATAATTTCTTGTATTATCTAGATGCATTATAATTTCATTTATTATTTAAATGAATTATAATTTCATGTATTATTTAGATGAAATATAATACCATGTATTATTTAAATGAATTATAATTTCTTGTATTATTTAGATGAATTATAATTTCATGTATTATTTAAATGAATTATAATTTCTTGTATTATTCAAGCAAATAATATTTGCTTTCAATATTTGGACAAATCATGATTGCTTGTAACATATGAACAGATTGAATTCTTGAAATTTCGAACAGCAGAGAATTTCAATTTGCAATGGAGTAAATCACTTTGTTGTTTATTAATGTTGCACTGCTTTTACCAGGTTTACTTCTTTGATAGAATTATAAAATTATTAAATTAAACAGCAATCAATTTTTCGTTACGTATGTTAATATAAGACGAATATAAATACATAATGTACGAATGTAATTAACAATTTCAGATGCGCCGTATCGTCACGCTTTGAACACTGCCGTATTGAAGCTGCAACAAAGTGGCTTGATCACAGAGTTGAAGACAAAATGGTGGACGCAGAAACGTGGAGGAGGGAAATGTCGAGTACGTACTATAAATAATAAAAAAAAACCTGATAATTTTATTTCACTGTAATTTAATTGTAATTTTAACAGTCTGATAATTGTATATTTCACAATATAAGCATTTCTTCTCCCATCTAAAACAATCGATTTATGTAACACAGTCGACAAATCACCTATAAATTATAATATTAACACAGTAAAATCTGTGACGAACAGTACACATAAATGAAGAAAACAGTCCAAAATACAAATGCAAATATGCATATATATTTTCTTAACCTTGTTTAATTTCAATTTTAATGAAATTAACATTCTGAATTGTTATCAATAAAGAGAATGTACGACTCGTATAATAAATTTGATGTTTTTAAATGATTTGTAGGAAGATGGTGGTCAAAGCGCAGCGGAAGAACTAGGTATCGACAATGTGGGTGGAGTGTTTCTAGTATTAACTGTAGGTGTTGCCTTGTCATTCTTCTACACCATATACGAATTTCTATGGGAGATTGGTTGCACGTCTGCGCGTGAAAACGTAAGAATTACTGGACAACTTCAACTTCAATCAATTACAGTGTGGAGAAGTAGTGGGTTTAATTATAACAGTCCATTTAAGATGGATCAATTTCGGAATTTTTACATTTAGGAAATCAGGGACTTAGAAACTAGAAATTTGGGAACGCAGGAATTTGGGGACTTGGAAATTTTGGGATGTCGAAATTTGAAGATGTGGAAATTTGGGGAGATGGAAATTTTGGGATGTGGGAATTTGGGGAAGTGAGAATTGGGGACTATGAGAATTTGGGGATGTGGGAATTTGGGGATATGGAAATTTTGGGATGTGGGAATTTGGGAAAGTGAGAATTTGGGGCTATGAGAATTTGGGGATGTGAGAATTTGGGGATATGGAAATTTTGGGAGTGTTAGAATTTGAGGATGTGGAAATTTGAGAACGTGGAAATTTAGGGATGTAGGAATTTGGGGATGTGAGAACTCAAGAATGCAGGAATTTGGGAATGTAGCAATTTGGAAATGTAAGAATTAGGAAACATAGGAATTTGGGGACGTGTGGATTTGGGAACGTGGAAATTGGGGATATGTGAGTTTGGGAACGTGGAAATTTTGGAATGTGAAAATTGGGAAATGTCGGAATTTACAGACGTAGTAATTTGGGGAATGTCAGAATTTGAAGATATAGGAATTTGCAGGTTCAGAAATTTGGGAATCTAGGAATTTAAAAATTTTGAAATTTTGAGAGGTAGGAGCTTGAAAATTCAGGAATTCAGGAATTTAGAGATTCGAACACTTAAAGATTCGAAAATATCAAAATTAAAAAGTTTAGAAATAAAAAAATTTTAATACTATCCTCCACGCTTCAACATTACTTAAGCACACATACTAACATAATTCATTTTTATTTTAGGTTTCCTTCACAGAAGAATTAATAGCCGAATTAAAGTTCATCGTAAAATGCAGTAGCTCATCGAAACCAGTACGAAGAAGAAAAGGTTCGTCGAACCGAAGCCGAGAAGATAGTACCCGAGATTGTACACCTCCCTACGGTTTCATCCCACAAATCAGAATACCCAACTCCGAAGAGAAATAGACAATTGCATTTAAACACAACATCCTCTAAACTATAGCCAAATAAATGAATAAAAAAAGTTTGTTTAAATTCATAAATGCAGTTTCAAATATTGCTTTTCCGTTCGTTTCATGGCCACGAAATAACATATCAGCAGCGTGGATTAAGTGTGACGACTGAAATGTGAAATATGAAGGGCGTGAAGTGTAAGATGAAGTGTGAGATGCGAATTATGAAATATAAAAGCGTGAAGCATAAAGTTGGATGCAGTCTATTATGAGGTCACGCTATGCATTAAATTCACAAGTCACACACGACATTCTACATTAATGTTCCATTAGTCGAAATTGCTTATGTATTAGTGCTCATTTTTTATGCTGGAAAGTGAAACTATGTTCTTGGGACATTATTCTTAATATGTCGATCAATATTTGTTCGATACGTTCTCTGGTGATGAATTATGAAATTCTTGCATTCTTAAATTTTTATATTTCTGGGTTTTCATGTTAGTAGGTTTCTTAATTTGGAAATTTGGAAATTTCTGTGTTGTCAAATTTCTATATTTTCAAATTTCTGTATTCCCAAATTTCTACATTCCCCAATTCCCACGTCCCCAAATTTCTACATTTCCAAATTGCCATGTCCCCAAATTTCTACATTTCCAAATTCCCATGTTCAGAAATTTCTACATTTCCAAATTCCCATGTCCCCAAATTTCCATGTCCCTAAATTTCTACTTCCCCCAATTCCCACGTCCCCAAATTTCCACATCCCCAAATTCCCCTGTCCCCAAATTTCTACATCCCCTAATTCCCAAGTCCCCAAATTTCTACATCCCCCAATTCCCACGTCCCCAAATTTCTACATTTCCAAATTCCCATGTCCACAAATTTCTACATTTCCAAATTCCCATGTCCCTAAATTTCTACTTCCCCCAATTCCCACGTCCCCAAATTTCCACATCCCCAAATTCCCCTGTCCCCAAATTTTTACATCCCCTAATTCCCAAGTCCCTAAATTTCCACATCCTTAAATTCCCATGTCCCCAAATTTCTACGTCCCCCAATTCCCACGTGCCCAAATTTCTACATCCCCTAAATCCCAAGTTCCCAATATTTCCACATCCCCAAGTTCCTACATGCCTAAATCCCCAAATCCCCAACTCCCAAAATATCTAATTAATAAATGCCTCAAAAATACCTAATTTCCACCACATTTTACACAAAAATATTTCCCCTAAAAATAGCAAAAAAACCTAATCATTCACCTACATAAAACCAAATAATTTCGCATAAAATGTCTTCATACATAAACACCGAAAGATACATCAATATCAGCATACTAAAAAGTACAATTTACGACGTTACAGATAAACACAGAAGTATCTGTTACAAATATAGCTCGTTAGATCGGAAAGGAAAAATAATTAGCTGTTTGATTCGAGTATCATTGCAGAGATATAAAATGCACGGAGTCTCTTGGCAAACGAGGATTAAATTAAATACATTAAACCAGCGACAGAAACTTCAGCCTCGGATATCGTATAATAAACGCAAGCATGATCTAGCAAACGGTCATAAATATCGAATAACAGGATGCACGTATCGATCGTTAAATCGGTTAAATACGTTAGTCGCGCTAAATAGCAATACTTTATTAGATCAGCGGTTGAAACCGATGCTAAAAAACGGGGAACAAATGAGTCGCATAAAATTCGATATTTGAAATTAAATGACAAAAAACTTCGCCTTTATTCTCGCGTGATACACGCTCGTAAAAGGAATGTCACGATCGTATTCTGGTTTTTCCGGTTTACGTTATCTCCACCGTCTATCGTCAGTTTTCTCCAATCATCGACGTGAAAAAAGGATAATAGAATATGTGAACTGGGAGGTAAAATTGTTATTACACGTGGACGTCGGTGTAGCAACACCCCGCCATTTTTGTTTCGTCGTCACGCGATCGGTACACTTGGAGCATCTTCTTTTTTCGGTGTCGATGATCAACGTGAAAATATGTTCGATAATTACTGGTAGAGATATAAGCAGGGTGCTGCTATCTCCTAAGATGAGCTGAAGCGTCTGCGAGTTTGATCGGTAAGGTAGCGGCCCAATCTTGTTCTCAATCGACGATACGAATCATCTCGATGATACTCTTACGATAAACACCGCCAATTAGGCATCATCGATCAGTCCGTGTGTAATTTATTATTTTAACTGAAGCCTGATCTCGACGTTTACGCGTTTTACAACTTTATCGCATTAATTTATGCGAGTAACGGAGCTTGCTATCGATTTTTATTTAGATTTGCTTGGATATTTTTGTAATTTGCTTGGTACTGGTTTATCTTCTTGTATTGATTTGTATTTATATTTGACTTTATATTGATTTATTCATATTTGAGTTGATATTGATTTATATTTATATTTGACTTGATATTGATTTATATTCATATTTGACTTAATATTCATTTGCATTTATTTTTAAGTAATATTTAAACGATAAATGATTAAGATAATTAGTGGACGGGTTGTCTAGATGATTCTATTTCCACTTAAGTAATCTTGTTTGTACTATTGTAAATTATTAGGACAAATTATGACTAATAATATTTGACAGTGTGAATAAGTGAGAACTAAGTTCCATCTAGTCTGAATTAATCATTTATACATATCAGGTTACAACTCCTACTATTTGAACTATTACCAAATATGTCTATTAGTATCATAAGCAGCAAATGATGAAGATAGTACAATTATTATCAACTCACACAACACCACAGTACTTATTCAATTTTGTATTTTATACTTGAATGCTTTAAATAACGAGAAGTGAAAATATAATTTAGTCATCATTTCCCCCAAAATCTGGTGTGTCTATAGCACTGAAATTATCGATTAAACTGCAGTCGAACTCAAACGAAATCCACGTCATACCAAAACTAATTAACAGAATAAACTTCAGCAGTGATAAGCAGTTTGTTACAAAACTCCGCGCAATACTAGAATTATAAAAAAAAAAGTAGAACATCCCTAAAAGAGTACTCAAGAATTCGGCCAAACCAGAAAAGTTTGAAGAAGTTCTCCACGTCTCTAACAATTGCCTTCTCCACAATATCAACCTTAACTTCGCGAGTCTCTTCAAAATTTCTAAATGAAACTTGCAAGTTCTCCTTGTATCTTAAACTGTTTCTCAAAAGTTTGCTTTTTAAGAGGACACTTAGGTGTGTTTAATCAACGTACACATCCTCGAGTCTGGGGATCTTTTTCTTAATTGGAAGAACATGTATCCTGTAACGTTCAAAGCCTAACCTTCGCATTAAGGAGCTCACGATGGAGTCCTCGAGGCACGGTTTACAATGAAACATACTCCCTTCATTGATGTCGGAAGTGTTCTGAAGTGGCTAACCGAGATTGTTGATGAGCAAGCATACCAACCATTTCCTGCCTAACATTTCGCTTTCATTGGAATTTCAATGAAGAAGGAGATTAATGCTTGATGTTCCTCTTAATCGATCAACGTTGCCGCGTGACGTCGGCGGTTTCTGGGGCTTACTGGAGATTTGGCGAGTTGAGGATATGGGATTTTGAACAGTTTGGAGATTTGGGATACTGGAGAGATTTAGGAGTTAGAGAATTTAGGTAGTTGAGAGTCTAGGAATTTGGAGATTTAGGAATTTGGAGGTTTAAGAATATGGAAATTTTAGGATTTGAAAATTTAGAAATTTGGGAATTTAGGAATTTGGAGATTTAGAAATATGGAAATATAGGAATTTGAGAATTTGGGAATTAGGAGATTTAGCAATTTGAGGATTTAAGAATTTAGAAATTTAGAAATTTAGAAATTTAGAAATTTAGAAATTTAGAAATTTAGAAATTTAGAAATTTAGAAATTTAGAAATTTAGAAATTTAGAAATTTAGAAATTTAGAAATTTAGAAATTTAGAAATTTAGAAATTTAGAAATTTAGAAATTTAGAAATTTAGAAATTTAGAAATTTAGAAATTTAGAAATTTAGAAATTTAGAAATTTAGAAATTTAGAAATTTAGAAATTTAGAAATTTAGAAATTTAGAAATTTAGAAATTTAGAAATTTAGAAATTTAGAAATTTAGAAATTTAGAAATTTAGAAATTTAGAAATTTAGAAATTTAGAAATTTAGAAATTTAGAAATTTAGAAATTTAGAAATTTAGAAATTTAGAAATTTAGAAATTTAGAAATTTAGAAATTTAGAAATTTAGAAATTTAGAAATTTAGAAATTTAGAAATTTAGAAATTTAGAAATTTAGAAATTTAGAAATTTAGAAATTTAGAAATTTAGAAATTTAGAAATTTAGAAATTTAGAAATTTAGAAATTTAGAAATTTAGAAATTTAGAAATTTAGAAATTTAGAAATTTAGAAATTTAGAAATTTAGAAATTTAGAAATTTAGAAATTTAGAAATTTAGAAATTTAGAAATTTAGAAATTTAGAAATTTAGAAATTTAGAAATTTAGAAATTTAGAAATTTAGAAATTTAGAAATTTAGAAATTTAGAAATTTAGAAATTTAGAAATTTAGAAATTTAGAAATTTAGAAATTTAGAAATTTAGAAATTTAGAAATTTAGAAATTTAGAAATTTAGAAATTTAGAAATTTAGAAATTTAGAAATTTAGAAATTTAGAAATTTAGAAATTTAGAAATTTAGAAATTTAGAAATTTAGAAATTTAGAAATTTAGAAATTTAGAAATTTAGAAATTTAGAAATTTAGAAATTTAGAAATTTAGAAATTTAGAAATTTAGAAATTTAGAAATTTAGAAATTTAGAAATTTAGAAATTTAGAAATTTAGAAATTTAGAAATTTAGAAATTTAGAAATTTAGAAATTTAGAAATTTAGAAATTTAGAAATTTAGAAATTTAGAAATTTAGAAATTTAGAAATTTAGAAATTTAGAAATTTAGAAATTTAGAAATTTAGAAATTTAGAAATTTAGAAATTTGGAGATTTAGGAATTCAAGAATTAAAAACATAAAAATTCAGTTCAACAAAAATTCGAAGTACTATGCATTACTGTCCTATCGACCTCGAATCTCAAGCAGCGCACCTTCAAGTACCACCGTTCCCAGATTGTCCAGCCAAGACAAAATCGTCCGTCCAACCTCAGGAGTTCAATCTTTCAATCCGTACGTTTGTCCCCCGGCACTGAATAATTCAAGCCTGCCTAGAAGAAAAAGGCACCCTTCCACGACAAGAAGGGACG